CCCACCACAACGCCCGGCCATTTTTTTTTTCTTGGTTGCAGCCATCATTGTTGTTTGGCGGGCCCAGGCTGGGGATTCGAACTCGCCACCTTAGGTGTATGTGGCTGGCGCCTTAGCCGCTTGAGCCACAGGCGCCAAGCCCTGAGTTCAAATCTTAGTACTACCATTACTTGTGTCCCCTTGAGCAAACTTAACTTTTTGTCCATTGATTTTCCCATCTATAAAGGGAGGACAATGTGAGGGTGTTCAGCACACAGCCTGGGTGAGGGGCTTTTCTACAACTCAAACTTTACCCTTGGAAGTGAGAATAAGGTAACCTCAAAATTTATATCCCCATATTAATTTGAAACTTAAAAACAAAAGTGAGGACAGTCATAAAACCTACTTCATAGGGGTATTAGAGAGATTCAGTTAATACATACAATACTTAGAATAGTGCTGTGCATGTAATAATTACTCCATAAATTATTAGTTGTTACTGATGAGGAAAGCCAACTGACTTTCCCCTGAACAAAATATTTTTAAATGGCAGTGTTGAGATTTGGTTTCCTCTAGCCCAAGTCTAAACACAGTAGAAGCTCTGTAAGTTTAACACCCAAGGGACTGTAACAACCTGGTCAACATAAAGAACAAGACCTGTACTGATGTGTACATGTGGTACATGTCCAGCCTAGGTCAACTTTAAAAGGTGGTCAATGTAGGAGAAGGTCAACTATGGAAGTTCTAATATATTTAAAATTGAGGTGGGAGGTAAAAAGTTTAAGGTATCCTTAAAACTGCAAAAATCAAGTAAAATTAGTTTAAGTTTAGAACACCAAAGCATTTTCTGTATATGTAGTAGTTCCCACCTCCATGGTTTTGGATATTGTTTTTTACATGTCACAGTAAAATATTCATTTAAAAATCTTCAAATACAGTTTGGTTAAACTCTGTTTTTCTACACTTTGGGAATGAGAAGCTTAGAGGCAGGTGAACAGTGGAGCCCTTCTTCATGGTGCCACTGTGCCCCTTTGACACCAGAGGAAGCTAGGGCAGGAGGCATTTTAGTAAGGAAATTACAAAACAATAGGGAGGAGCTAGCCAGGAAAACTGAGGTCTCCTGGCCAGATGG